AGAAATCCACTCTTCAATCAAGTCATGATTAAGAATGAATTTCACCAAAAAGGATAAAGAACATCCAGTGTAACAGTTTGTAGCGGAGAAATATTATATATAATTGTTGAAGTAATTACTTCTAGGAAAACTCTACATGTTTTTCTTTTGTATACCCGTGACCTAGACACTGCTGTTACGAAGAAAATAGAATTTAGTGAACCAAATAAATGAAAAAAGGGGAGAGGTCCATATTATTGTGTCCTTGAATATGAATATTGTTTTTGTGTTACAAGAAACAAAAGAGCTATAAGTAGATTTTTATTGCTGTTTCTTGCAACTTCCAACTAGAGTTACACACTAAGGTTAATTTTTTGGTAATGTCCTTTGCTATAAATGTATCAACGTGCTTCCGATTATGTTCCTATTGTAATGTAACACTGCTAGAGTGAGGATCTGGATCAGCATACACTATACCTGTACTTATATACTTACTTCAATATATGTTTCTATTACAAATTCGTCCACGCGTTCCTCTATCAGATAACCTCAACAATAATATAATACGATATCTTTTTAACACAGAACAATTAGGATTACAGGATGGTTTGAACAGTCTTCTTCTTCTTTAACGAAAGAAAGAAATTTTTAAATTGGAAATTAAAATTACACAGATCTTCGTTCAAATTCTTCATATTTAAGTTGTAACAAACATTATTCGATAAGATTTGACAAAGAAGAATGTATAATGAACGAGTTTCAAGTGATTACATTTTGATAGAAAAATAATTTTTGCTAATTCTCTATCGATTTTTTGGAGAATTATCGTTTACATTTATGCTACTTACAAACTGATGATATTATCGTATAATAAGATCGAAATCGAACCCCACTGTGACCAGTTAGAAAAAGAACAAACGCCGGAGACTTCCAATTTGAGAAACTTCTCTTTAATATTTGTCTTTGTTGAATTCTGTGTTTTTAGTTACTTTGGATTTTTGAGAAAGATTGTTATGGGCAGATTCTGTACATTTTTAGCAGTGTAGTAAGTTGTTACGATCATTCGATTTGGTCATATTTCACGTGAATATTTTATCTCTTATAATTATATACAATGTATTCATTTATATAATTATATACATATAAGCATTTATATTGCAGGTTTTGCACCTTTATGTATACATAATTTAATGTAAGATATTGTACATCCAGAAATTTGATCAACTTTATCGATTGTATCGAATGTAACAACACAGAAATAACATATTTAAAAACATTCTTAAATGATCAATTTTTTAAATAAATCTTTTCCACTGACGATAAAAACGGTAATAAGGAAAAGCAGATACTAAATGTTTACATTTGTTAAGAAAATCGTTGAAAAATGGTAGCTGTCGAACTACGATTAACAGATAGGAAACGGCCAACTCATTGATCCGTTCATATTTACTACTTTATTACGCAATGGATTCGCTTAGACGAGTAAAGAGATGCTCAGGTAAGAAGTTCCTGGGCGCATTATAGCCCGAAGAAACTTCCCACGCCGATCTCGAAATCCTCTTAAGATCTTTTTCGGTTCTACACTTTGTTCTACTTTGCCGTTCCCAACCGGTCAGAGATCTTGGCACGACTGAAACTCGTACCTCGTCTAAAACCCTCTTCGATGTTACGATGATACGGAAAAAAAGAACGACAAATAAAAAGGATATTCATTCCCGTGAAAATAAAACGGGCTGTCTTTGCAAGTCATTGGATCTGATCAATAAAAATCACAGAACCTGTCGATTCGAACATTTCTTTCATTTGCATTTTTTTGCACTTTTTACATTTTTCATATATACGAGTATGTATATACGCATATCTGCATATAAAACATATTTGATATCAAAGAGTACGATATCTGAAAAGAAAATTTTTCATAAAGGATACGTAAATCTGAAGACACAGATTGTCATCGATTATATAATATGTACACGTAATAGCAGCCACGGTGACAATGAATACGTTGTGAATCTCTGTACATTACTGTAAATATAACTAAACACATGAAATCTAACTGACGATTTGTTCTAGTTTATAAACACTATACTTCATCGTGGGTATTATATATATTTTTGAAAATTAAGTGTAGTCTATACATTCCTATTTTTTTTAACCTTCTCACAAATTAATTACAAGGAACAAATCCGTTGCACCTCGGTTTGGGTATGATTTAATAATTAAACTACATTTTGCCAAGGTCAAGTAAATATTTAGATAATTCTGAATAATGTGTAAATTATTCTGAACATATGAAGTGTACCTTCATAGAATACCCAAATCAAAATCTACCGCGTCTAGAAGTCTCTTCAACAGACTTCTACAACGACGCGGATAAGGACAATAAGCGAAAGAAAAAGGAAGAATCAAATAAGAACGATACCAGTTGCCGTGAAAGTAAGACAGAATACCCTTGCTAGTCGTCGTGCCAAAAAAAAAGAAAAAATACGACAAAAGCTGTCGATTTGATCGCGGACAGTTCGCCACTCTTTGTTCGTATTGTCCAAAACGTAGTAACATCGAGAAATGAACGTTCTAATTGTTATCGATATCCGACGAGATCCTTCGAGTTTCCCAATCTTCTGCCCAGCCCTCGATAAAACGAGAATAGAACGAGACGTGGAAACGATTTGTGAAGCGGTTAAAAGATCGTGCAGCGTCGTCATCTATCGAACCGCTAATCGAAAGTCGGTCGTTACACGCTCGTGGAACTTTGAATCGAGTTCGTCAGATTGTTTCGACCCTTAGGGGCACAAACCGCTCTGCATAGCCGCTCTCGTTCGTTGAATTAGACTTATTAGAGAGAAAGAGGAAGGTCGAGAATTGGTCACGGATCATTTATGGTCGGGGACACGCTTCAGAAGTTGTTCGCCCGATGAAAGGACAATTAAAGGAAGTTCTGGTCCCGCCAGTGGCTGGTCCAAGACGTGCCGGATTCGGAGAGCGACGAAGTTTTCACGGATTTAAGTTCGAAACGCTCCAGGGACCTCTGAAACTCTCCACAAACCGACCGGTGTATCTCCGAAAGTGGAACATCTTCAAAAGTTTCGATCAAGGGTGACACGGAATTTCGAGTGGCATTATGCTTTTTTGGTATTTTTCACGGAATTCTTATGTCTCGAGGAATTTTAACGAACATGCGACTTCCAGGAATATCGAGAAATTTAATCGTTACGAATTTCTTTTGCAAGCTTGGACCTGAAATTTCAGAGTCGAAGAATTAGTAATTAAGAATTTCAAGAAATATACATAATTTGTAGATGTTGAAGATTTCGAAGTTTCCGGTAATTATTTATTTCTCCTTTTCTTAAGTTCTGCAAATTCTAACGATTAAAAAAGATATAAAAATGACCAATGCCATTAAGAAGGAAGTTTCTCGAGGTTTTTAAAGTATTTGAAAATTTATGTTTTGTCAACTTTTTAGAAGTTTGAAAATATTAGAAGCGATAAAAAGTACGGAGAATTTCAATTAGACAATTGTCTAAACCGTAAGGACTTGAAAATCTTGAAATATTTATCTCGATAATTTTTTGAAATTCTGAAAACTAAGCATCATAGGAATTCGGAGTATCTCAAAAATTCCAACGATTCTAAGAATCATAATGCTCTTGATACGGAGATTCTCTAGAGATTCTCAAAAGTTTGCTCTAGAATTTTACATAGACCTCGTAGTAGAGTTACTGACAATGAACTTTTGGACTTTCGCGTCAGACAATGAAGGACGTCGCACGGACCATTTCATACGACGTAACAGACTGGATAAAAATATTTGAAACATAATAAATAATAATTCGTATATCAAAGAGAATAATGGAAACTCATAAAAAGGTTTTAAGCTTTAAAATTAAATGGAGTTGGCGAAGATCTGACATACGACCACAAATCGAGCAACCACGAGTGGTATCAGTGGCTGCCCTTTCGGCAGTTTGAACACTAATGGAACCGATTTTTCAGGAGTAGGTACGACAGCTGCTGGCACTACTTCGCCCCACTCATAGTCAAGGACTCTGCTGCTCACACACAGTATTATGACTCTGCCAATTTTTTTGTCCATTCCAGCATTTCTTTTTCGCAGCAATCTAGATTTCATAAGGGCATTTTAACCTCTTAACACGTTGACCGCTACGACACCCGCATTCGGGTGTCAGCAAAGTTTCTGGTCAGGCCACGTAACGCATATTCGGATGTCGCTTATTTGACTACTTGCGAAGGATCGTGGTAGGTATTTGAAAAGATATTCCATAATAATAAATTGTTAATTAATAATTAATTGTAATAATAGTTGAATTGTTATAAAATAAAAATACGAAAATGGTTTATTAAAAAAATTATTTAGAATGTAAAACTTTAAAGCATTCTATACATAGCTGAGGTTGGTCGGGACAATTTGGACAATAAGTTGTTGTTTTCTTCAAATTCTTTTGTGCCTTTGTTCGGTCCATTCGACGTCTTTTATTTGCATAACATAGTTTGCATGCGCGTCTAATGCTTCTTCCGGAATCATTTTTCCGAACGGCGATATTATGCTGACTCCGTCGAAGATAAGGATTTTTTGTATTTTCAGACAACCCTAATAATTTTGCAACTAATAATTGTTTAAATATTCTAATGTCTATATTTTTTCTTGTTGCAATTTTGTAAACCGTCAAAGCGTTTACAACAAAAATTCCCAGAAAGAATTGAATGCCAAGTGTACATTGAAAGATAGAAAAATTTGCCGTACTGTAACATCGAAAATATATATATTATTATTGATGATGATTTATTTACAATAAATGGATTGTACAGATGTTGATTAAACAGAAGAACGATGGTTGTTCAACGTGAACTAATCACAATAACGTGCTATAATCTAGACAACTCAATAGTTAATTCGCAACTCTCGTCACAACGGATCCAACGCTCTCTCTCTCTCACGCGGACCACACTCTCACGACAACGCTGGCAACACTATCTCGACAACGCAACTCGCACTCTCTGACTTCTCAATTCACACTCTCTGGCTTCTCCACTGACACTGACTGTTCTAGCATCCCTTGGTCTTTTCTTAGGCCCACCACGCACGTGTTCCGCAAACACTCATGGCCAGTGTCACGTAGGCCTTTTCAACGAAACTATTTAATTGAAGGACCGCTGACACATTGATGGACCCGACGACGCCTCGGCCTCGACATTGTTTATGGTTTACCCGATATCTCTTAGGCCTTTTTGTCCACGATACTATAGTATGAATATTAAAATATTATTAACTTCTATAAATAATTAGAACATCCGTGTGATTCCTTTGTACGAATATAAGGAAATATAATATAATGCATAAATATGAATTAATGAGGAAAAATGATATGAAAATTACTGAAAACGTAAATTGAATGTTTATATGATACTTCTTTCATCAATATAAAAATACGTTAGAAAAAACTGTGAGTGATGCAGCCTTTAAATCAACCAACCTCTTATACGCAAGAGTCTTTGATATTATCCATTTTTCCGCATGTTTCAAGGAACGTAGGAATTATACATTTCACAGTAGAAAGAACGAGAAATATACGGCAGAAATTGCACGAAACCTTCCGTCACAGGTAAGTCTTCAAACGAAGCCAATTAGCATAGTTGATTTAAGAAACCACTACGAAATGAATCTAAAAGAACCCCGTTCGCGACTTTCGTGAGATCATTGGTAGCCAGACGACTGCGAGAAAAGTTTCCAGAGGAGACAATTAAAGCGACGAATTTCACAGTGGTTGATCATAAGCGGAACAATGCGGTTGTTTGATAATTTCCAAAGATATAGCGAGAACACTGAGGAACTTTCGTCCGCTTGTGATTTCTATATTTTCTATCTTTGGCCTATTTTTGCGGGTGAGCAATTCTTTTTACGTAGTAAAAGGGAAGGGAAGAATGGAAGATGGTTATTGTTAGTAAGGTTCGTTTGCTCTGTTTCTTCGGTCGATACTTTTCTTCTTCGCTGAAAAAGGAAAAGTTTAATTTCTTCGAAGAACCGAGAAACGTCTAGTTCGAGGAAAAATAGAAACTCTACAAGATGGCGGCAAATGGTAAAGAATTGTGTGTTACGTTAGTTCGTTCGATAGTTTCGCCTTTTGAGAATGAATTTTTTGAAGTGGGCATGAACTTTTAAGTGTAAATTTCTTCCTAAGCTACTCGTCGAAGGTACATATTACATGCTTTTTCGTTTCATGTTTTCATTTTCTGGACGGTCGGTTTTTGAAAATATAGATTAATTCCTAAGAGCCAATTTTTTGCTGAAAATACATATTATGATATGATCTGATATGATGATATTATCATATGATATGACATGAGTGATACGATCTCTCGTTCGATAATTTCGTCTTTTATAATATGGATTAGTTCTTATATATAAGGTCATGTTTATTGAAAATACATGTTATGTATCTATTTGTTCCATGTTGCAAAAAAACTCGGAATTGTAAGAAACGTACGAGCAATTGCTTGTTCGAGTCTTTCGAAAGACTTTATAAGATATAATTCATAAAAGCAAAAAAAAGAAAAAACAGAAACGTTTCCGAACTTTCATTGCAATTATTAGTAACATTTCGCTGCACTTTCCTTCGTTCTATGTTATGTTTCAACGGTTGAAAAGAAGGTTTCCTTATTCCAATCAAACAATTCCCCGAACTTCGTTCAAACTAATATTACCTAGTTCATGAATCAACACATTCTTTTCCCGACAGCTAGTAATTTTACCTCTTCCTCTCAAAATTCGAGAATGAGTCGAAAATGAGTCGAGAATCTAAGGTGGAATCAGATTTGTGCGATTAAAACGAGGTCGAAAACATTTCCGAAGCTCGCGATGGCGTTCCAATATATCGCCTTCGAATCTTCTACAAGCTTTGAAAACTTGCTTGCGACGCTGGGTAAAAAGTTGAACTGCGAGATTTCATTCAGTTTCCAAAAGCCATCGACTGCTCAGCTAAACTTTCTTCCTCTCTCGGTCATTCCGCTGGTTTCTGACCGTGTTTTTGTCACATCGGGACAAAACTCGACGGTATTGTCCTCGAAGCTGCATGACACGCGAGAAAGATTAATTACCGTCAGCCACGTCCTCGTGGAACCGTTCGTTTTTCAGGGACACGCGTGGAAAATCCAATTTTCCAGACACGTCCTGCGGTACCAATTAGAGGCTCCATGGGACGTTTGAAGTTGCGAATCATATAGTCGAGGAATTTTATTTGTCTATCGGCCGTTTTGATGAAAAGGTACGCAAATCTGCGAGACAATTTTTCATCGAAAATTAATGTAGATAAATTTTTTGAGATATAGTTATCGAACGTGTATCGACACAAAACTACAATTTGATAATACGTGATTTGATAATGATAAATGTCAATGAGACGTAAATTTGTTATTCTTAACCGTACCTGAATTATGTTCCAGAATTGTTTAACATACTGTAGTTTTCATTTTCATTCGACGATTATCTGATCACATATCGTTTTCTCTACTTGCTTTACCTTTAGTAATTGAAACTCACTATCAATTATTTGTCACAAGCATTTGTACCAAATTCTTTTTCACATAATAGACTGACAAAGACTTTGAATTTATGACATGAACGAAATATAAATGTTAAACTTTATAACGACGTGTTATAAATCCTCAATTAATTCGGCCAACATACATTCAACCAATAATTTCCTCGTTAAAAGAAAAACAGACTAAAAAAGAACCCCATCATCTCCATAAACGCTCATTACAGATTGTAAATCGATAAACGACAATCGGTCCGTGGTCAAACAATCGGTGAAAACTAAACAAACGGCTATCAGTAATCGAAAAGAATTATAAAAAGCAAGGGAATTTGTTTCCGCGCGTTTCTCCTAAGTGATCGAGTAGAAGTGACGGCCAACTACATAAGGGTTTGTCCGCCCAATTCGAGGAAGCGCAATTACGTGACCTCTCGAGGTAGTCAGCGAATTTCCACGAAGGGAAGTATCGATAAAACCTGAGAACAAGTACAAACCATCGAGAAGCCTGGCATTCGACGAAAAAAGCCGACGTGTATACCGAACAGCGATGAAAAGGGGTGGAAAGAGAGTGGTTTCCGGGACCGGGAAGGACGTCGAGATTGCGTAGCTCGACGATCGACTAACTTCTCGTTGAGAACGGAACAAAAGAGGAGGAAAGTTGCGCCGAGGTGATCTTTTTTAATCTCTGTCTCCAACTCCCCTCTGTTCGAAGGCCGAGCTAAGCTTCTCCCTTCCCTTCTCCCGAAATCACCTGCCACACGAACTGTGCGGCGTGTACATAGTGCAGATTAATTGCTACAGATAGTCCACGGTCCTCCCCTTAGCCGCTTCTCTGTTGTCTCCAGGATGAATACGTGCTCTGCTGGTATTTATGAAAAGACAAGAAAGTCGGATAGATTGCGGTTGATTTTTGAAACGAGAACCACTGCTAGATTCGGCTCAACACAGTTATATTTACTGGATTTCTAAGTTGATAAGGAGCGACGATAAGGAAGATTCAAAGGTTGGTCAGTTTTCTGATTAGAATCTTAGGAGACGATCTTTTCGAGGATTGTATTGCAGTAAGCATTAAGGTGTGTTTGATAGGATTTTATATTCGTTACGACGTGTGCTTTCGTAAGATTAGGAAGAATGATGTGAAGAGTTTGGCATAGTTTAGGTGAGTTTGTTGGAGCTTGTAATTTATCTGTACTTTTTGAGGAATTTTGCGAAGATTTGAAGTGCGAAAGGTGAGGAATAATGGCAAGCATTTCGAACAACGTTAATTACATTTATGTACAAATAACAAATGAAGGTCTCCAATATGGAGAGAGTATCTTTACTACTTAATTTGTTAATTGTGTCGTTCGTCAATCAGGAATTTCTATAACCAGGAAATTAAGAGATAATAAAGACAAGAATTTTAATTAGATCGGTTTTAATTTTTCGAGATATAGATAAAATCTATTTTTAACAATAGCAAAATGACATATGGAGAAAATTATTATGTCCAAGAGATTAACAATTCAAGTAACGAGTTAGCTTATGTTCCTCGGTTAACGGATTAAAATTACATTCGATACGATACAAGAAGTACCATAAAGCGAAAAGCATATCTCTTGGAAAGTCTACAAATTCGACCGAAAGAACTAGTTCCTATGAACAATAGCAAACAATCGTTCAACAAACAAATTTCCCATCGTCAAGCTGCTCCGTTCCAAACAACATTTATCTCTCCCATCAATAAAACATTGTTCTTCTCATCCGCGGTCCACCCCCTTTCACGTTCAACAATTCTAAAATTGAAAAACTTAACCCAGTAGCAGAGGCTATCGACAGTTGGCGACGTAAATTACAGTTTCAAGCTGTCAGTTACGAAGTTTCAGAAACCAGAATCGATCTGTTCGACGTGGTTTGATTAATATCTAGCCGTGGAATCGGATGGTCGAGGCCGCGAATTCGTGAAACCGGATAGCGATAAAGGCCAAATCATGGAAGCTGCCGCTTTCACGTAATCCCCGAAGGAACGACGACCTGTCGTCGCTCGACTATTCGCGATCCAAACGTCTCATGCATCAAGCTTACGCCAGCCGTGTACAGTGGAAAGCTGTTTCGTCAACCAAGACGCTGAGCCTCTGTTAATTTCGAGATATCGCGTTTTAAAGCGAACGATACAATTCGTTCTGGGATTATGCACGAGACGATATCTGCCTCGTGGTACAGCGTGATTCAACGATGTTTCGGTTATAATGCTGCGTGTCCCTTGATGTGTCTGTCAGGTGGTTATGACTTTGCTGTTGTTGGTAAGACGACGATATGCTGTGATTGATAGCGACTGCAGTATGTATGGAGAAATTAGATACATCGAAGAGGTTGGTTAAAAAGTTATTTGAAATAATGATTTCTAAATATATATTTCAAATAATGTCAGTTATTATATGATATATAATGTATTTCAGGTGATGTTATATTCTTTATTTTATCCATCAGAGAAATTTAAAGCTAAGTGTGAGAATAATAAATGGAAAATAGATTACTGCAGGAAATAATAATGATTATTTGTTAAATGAAAATTAGTTTTTGAAATAGGATTTTAAAAAGGCATTGAACGTTAATTGAAAGAAACAAATAAACCAAAAAATAATAAATTTATTTGATAGAATGAAATAAATCGTTTAATTTCAAATGTCTGTAATTAAT